CTCCTGGGCCCAGGAGTTCAAAACTTTTAATCCCTATCTGATCAAATCAGATTTGGATTTTTTTTCATGGATATTTTTTCCTTAATCTAAATTACATTTGTGATTGACAATCTTTGTTGTGATTTTTATGAGCATAAACATGTATGTCAACATTTGGTTGGTTGGTAGGCCACCACAAACGTGACCAAAAAATGAATAATACAATTGATTTGCCATGAAGGCTAAACATTGTGTATTGTTTCAGTTAACAAACTTTGCCATCTTATTTATATAGAAACATATTTTTAAATACATGGTACAGTACATGTTGCTCTGGTAATAATAACAATGTGTAGCCTTCATGGCAAATCAAAGTCACAAAGTCACGTTTGTGGCGGGCTATTTTGTTTTCAACCAAATGTTGAAAAAAAAGTCCATCATCTGTCGTCACCTTTCAAAGGTAATTGCGGACAATAGAAGTCTGCAATGTGGTCTCTTGTCTTCCTTGTATTACTTTTCATGTCCACTAGGTGGCGCTCTGTAGGATTAAAGCACTGATATTCAGGATCTAGCCCTTTCATGCATGAATTATGAAAGCCTCAGTCAGGATGTTTTTACCAAGTGTTTTTATTGCTCTTAGGGCATGAAAAACAAGATGTTTATACGTCCACTCAGGTGGACAGAATGCGTTCAGGTGAGGCCCCCTCCACAAGGTGTGGCCCCCTCCACAAGGTGAGGCCCCCTCCACAAGGTGAGGCCCCCTCCACAAGGTGTGGCCCCCTCCACAAGGTGTGGCCCCCTCCACAAGGTGTGGCCCCCTCCACAAGGTGAGGCCCCCTCCACAAGGTGTGGCCCCCTCCACAAGGTGTGGCCCCCTCCACAAGGTGAGGCCCCCTCCGCAAGGTGAGGCCCCCTCCGCAAGGTGAGGCCCCCTCCACAAGGTGAGGCCCCCTCCGCAAGGTGTGGCTCCCTCCACAAGGTGTGGCCCCCTCCACAAGGTGAGGCCCCCTCCACAAGGTGAGGCCCCCTCCACAAGGTGTGGCCCCCTCCACAAGGTGTGGCCCCCTCCACAAGGTGAGGCTCCCTCCACAAGGTGTGGCCCCCTCCACAAGGTGTGGCCCCCTCCACAAGGTGAGGCCCCTCCGCAAGGTGAGGCCCCCTCCGCAAGGTGAGGCCCCCTCCACAAGGTGAGGCCCCCTCCACAAGGTGTGGCCCCCTCCACAAGGTGAGGCCCCCTCCGCAAGGTGTGGCCCCCTCCGCAAGGTGTGGCCCCCTCCACAAGGTGAGGCCCCCTCCACAAGGTGAGGCCCCCTCCACAAGGTGTGGCCCCCTCCACAAGGTGAGGCCCCCTCCACAAGGTGAGGCCCCCTCCACAAGGTGTGGCCCCCTCCACAAGGTGAGGCCCCCTCCACAAGGTGTGGCCCCCTCCGCAAGGTGAGGCCCCCTCCACAAGGTGAGGCCCCCTCCGCAAGGTGTGGCCCCCTCCGCAAGGTGTGGCCCCCTCCGCAAGGTGTGGCCCCCTCCACAAGGTGTGGCCCCCTCCACAAGGTGAGGCCCCCCTCCACAAGGTGAGGCCCCCCTCCACAAGGTGAGGCCCCCTCCACAAGGTGAGGCCCCCTCCACAAGGTGAGGCCCCCTCCACAAGGTGAGGCCCCCCTCCACAAGGTGAGGCCCCCTCCACAAGGTGTGGCCCCCTCCACAAGGTGTGGCCCCCTCCGCAAGGTGAGGCCCCCTCCGCAAGGTGAGGCCCCCTCCGCAAGGTGAGGCCCCCTCCGCAAGGTGAGGCCCCCTCCACAAGGTGAGGCCCCCTCCACAAGGTGTGGCCCCCTCCACAAGGTGTGGCCCCCTCCACAAGGTGAGGCCCCCTCCACAAGGTGAGGCCCCCTCCACAAGGTGTGGCCCCCTCCACAAGGTGAGGCCCCCTCCGCAAGGTGAGGCCCCCTCCACAAGGTGTGGCCCCCTCCACAAGGTGTGGCCCCCTCCACAAGGTGAGGCCCCCTCAGCAGCAGCACCAGTATGAGTTGTAGTTGAAATATAGCCAGCATGACTCCACTGAAGTGGAGAGGTGGTTGATCAGGATTTCCTGCAAACATAAAATCAATACTTTGATCATTTATGAATTATTCCTTAGTTGTTACTTGATGTCACCACATGTTTATACCTGCAGGGGGCGCTTTCCATAAAAGGATTGGCAGGATATAGATGGGTGACTTGGTCCATGTGGCTTTCTGTCGTCCATCTTGGTTCAGAGACATCATGCACTCACACTGACTTGGCACTGAGTGGCAGAGGATGGGATGATGCAATAGGGTCCTATGTAGTGGCTGATGTGCAATAAAACACAATGCATATGAAAAGACCTTTTGAATAGCTGTCCACTGTAGTGACCTCCATGCATGCAAGGGCTGAATCTGGATCCGGGTGATCCCATCCTGAATTGCTTTGAACTACAGGGACACAATCTGTCCGACTTGTCTGTTTTGAACTCCTGCCCTGGAGAATGGGCAACTTCATGCAGAATTACAAACCTTTGAGGAGATGTTGCATTGGCTTTCATTTGGTTTTTGCAAAGCGATGATGTAATTAAACACTTCTATACTTCAGGTTCCAAATAACTCAATTAAAAGTGCACACCCAACTAAAAAGACTCAGGGTGTTAAAGCCTTAGAGGAAATCAGATTGATGAGTTTTTAGTTTTTAAAACAAGGAAGATTTAAACAGATTTTGCATGAATTGCATTTAGTTTCTGCACAGCAAGGATTAGGCATTGAAATAAACGGTTGTATACTTTGTTAAAGTGTTTCCTGCTCAAAGACAATGCTTAGGTCAGGCCGTACTAATCCAAAAATAACAACTAAAAATGCAAACCAGACAAGAGGAGATGTTTAGCTAAAACACATGAAATAAGAGTTACAGTCTGCAGTAAATCAGTCGTTTCCTCTCCATCTCCTCCCTTTCATTTGTAATGTGTGGTTTTATGGAGTGTTTCTGACGGAGGAGAGCTGACAGAGGAAAGGAAAAGTAGTCCCTCGGAGTAAACAGGTCAGAAAGTTCTGAATGAAAGGAGGAGATGTGGGGGTCAGTCAGCGGTCTTCTGAGGCGAGAGCAATCCTTTTCTGGGAAAACAAGAAATTAGCACTGCTTTGTTTTTAGGTCCTCCATGAGTCCTGTCATCTTGTGTGAGGAGGGGGAGGTGTGAGGAGGGGGAGGTGCTCAGCGACCACCTTTACGTTGAGTTGTAGCTTGAATGTATAGTTTAGTTTGAGGTGGATGAGATGGTGCTGCTGGTTTAAGAGCAGGAGAATTCAGCATTTCTTCAGCTGGAGATGTAATCCTCTCTTATTCAAATGTTTCCTGCTCCTAAGTGATCTGGGGGTTTGAGAGGAAATAGTGGAAAGAGGCAGAGAAATAAGCAACGATTGAAGTTGCTCGGGGTCAAAATCACTTAACATGCGTTCTTACTTAACCCTCCCATTGTCTTCGTCCCCCCCCCCCCCCCTTACTTTGGTGTTTGCGGTCAAATTTGACCGGTCCTGTTTTAGCTGCTATTACATTAACACAAAAACCATTAATCACCACATTTCATTTAAAACCCTTTCAAACTGTGTGTGTGTGTGTGTGGTGTGTGTGTGTGTGTGTGTGTGTGTGTGTGTGTGTGTGTGTGTGTGTGTGTGTGTGTGTGTGTGTGTGTGTGTGTGTGTGTGTGTGTGTGTGTTGTGTGTGTGTGTGTTTGTGTGTGTGTGTGTGTGTGTGTGTGTGTGTGTGTGTGTGTGTGTGTGTGTGTGTGTGTGTGTGTGTGTGTGTGTGTGTGTGTGTGCACCATGGATGTTACAAAGTTCACTAAATCATCCAAAACGCAATGAAAGTGTTGATCAGCCATTGTATATGTTCAGATGTCTGCAGTGAAGGATCTCATGAAGCCACTTCCTTATTGTCAGTTAATGCTAACTCAGCATTGGAAATATGATGGCAGAAATTACAAGTTTGATGAGAAAAGTCTTGGTTCTGTTTCTGACAAAGTATGACTCTTTATCAATCAACAACTGTATTAATCCCGCAAGGAGCAATTGGTTATGAGCTGCAGCTGATGTCATGAACACATCAGGAACATACAGAACACACAGATACACCGGAGCACATGTGATTCCAGTTTACACTATAAATAGTTCATAGCATCACAATAATACATAAATAAATAAGTTAAAAGCCTTTCAAGAATGATGCTTTGTAAGTGTGGATAAAACAGGATTGGAAATAGAAACATCTACTTAGACAATAGCGCCACCTTGTGTTTCACATATGTGATGCACAGTTAAAGAAACTATTTCTCCTCACCAAATAATATAGAAAAACGGCTTGCATGCAAAATAATCACTTAATAATATTATTTGATATTAATGCTTATTATTGTATTTGCCTTACCACGTACATCTCTACCGTTAGAGCCATTTTCCTTTTGTCATTATTGTCTGAATGTTCATATAAATTAGATTATAACTCTTCACACTACGGTTTAAAATGTATTAATTTAAGGCTCACTTGTTTGTTATGTGCGTCAGCGTCACGTGCGTGGCTATTGATAGGACACAGCTGATGGTGATGAGACGGGGAAAACTGACCGTGTTCTTTTTGAGGCTGATAACTTGATTTGACGATGAAGCGAAGACGTGTGTCTCCTGTTAGCGGTCTGGACCGGTGAGTAAAGCTCATCTGATTCAACAACGATCTGAACTGTTTGGAAACAAACCAAAACGCACAACCCCGACAGAGGTGGCGACTGAATGTAGACTAGGATTAAAACGCCACCACACATACAGAGGAAAGAATACATATTATTTAACTGTTTTAAAATGCATTATCAATAAGCGAACTTGTTGCAGCAAAATAATAACAATACAAATCATATTTTCTATGGAGACAAATACTTGTTGGCTTATTAAAACAAAGATTAATCAAATATTATTCATTCCACGTATTTGCTTCTAATGTGCAGAAAATACAATTATAATAATAAGAGACCATTCACAGATGTGTGGTTTATTGAAACAAGAATAAATACATTTAGAATAACAGCATCAATAAATAACGAGCACGATTCCTTTCTTCTTTCAAATGTTCAGTTTTTAATATCCATATTTCCTCAGGGCTGTAGAAAGTTTCTCTCCCTCGTCTCCCTCCGTGTCTCCCTCTCCTCTCCGTCCACCTCGTCTCCGACCCTCCTCTCTCCCTCTCTTGGATGCATCAGCAGGTAATACAACAAGATGCTCACCATGCCCATCACGGCCCCCCCAACAATAATCCCGCTGAGGGCCAATAACAGAGAGACGGTCAGCATCTCTGGCCTTAGAAGAGCCATTAGCACGGGGGCCAGGATATTCAACACGCCGTGAAACACGTAATACACCACCATCTCCACCCTGGTGTTCTTCTCTTTGACGTTGAAGAAGGTGAAGATGAGGATGACCCCAACGACCCCTTGGTACAAAAGCTCCATCCCCATTGAGGTGCAGAATTTTTTCCCTTTTAGGTGAGTATATAAGGCCCCGAGGAGCCAGAGGAAGGTGAGGAACACGGAGGTGAAGGGGCTGAGGAGGAGAAGAAGAGCCAGGCTGAGGATGAGGCTGATGATGGTGGAGAGTTTGTAGAGGAGGTAGGTGAAGGTGGGGAGGCCGGAGGGCATCTCTCTGATCTGGGGGAGAGATCGGCGAAGGCAGCGGCGATAATCCACCAGAGCCCAGGAGACGGTGAGGAAGGAGAAGGACATGGAGAGATCTGGAGAGGGGGACATGTAGGGGTTAATGAGCGGGGGGGAAAGACTCAAAACATGACCTTCACACAATGTCACGTATCAACTTAGAGACTCAAGAAGACTGACAGTGACGAGAAGGTGAAAAACTACCATAAAGAAAAACAACACACAAACAAACGCTACAAGCAGTCCGAGACAATTCTGTCAAGATGCAAAAAGACAAAAAGAGACCACACATTGACCACAGAGACAAAACTAACACAAACTGACTTAAAAAGGCTACAAGAAGACCAAAACTACTAAATACAGATTCTAACAAGACCAGGAGGAGAGCCACCATGTCTCTAACAGTAACACAACTAGAGAGACTGAACGACTCTAAAGTCTGTGTTTCTCGCTCCTCTGTAGGAAAACTGTTGGCTCTCATAATGCCTCCATGGACAGATGCTCTGAATAATGTGTCCAGTAACTCCCCTCTCCCCCCTCTCCCCCTCCTCCCCCTCTCCCCTCTCCCCCTCTCCCCCTCTCCCCTCTCCCCCCCCTCTCCCTCTCCCCCTCTCTCCTCTCCCCCTCTCCCCCTCTCCCCCTCTCCCCCTCTCCCCCCTCTCTCCCTCTCTCCACTCACACTGCACGATGGTCCCCTCCCCGAGTCCTCACATGATGTTAGATCTGCAGCAGAAGTTGAGGAACGCTCTCCAGAAACACCTCGAACAGTTTGAGCATGCTCAGATCTGTCGCCAGGCAGAACAGACGATGGTGCTCGGCCCTCCTCTGGTCCTCCGTGCATGAAGCTGAGCTCCTCCACAGCACCCTGAAGCCCCTCCTCAGCAGGTGGACGTACCTGCAACAGGTAAACACAATCACAACAACATCACACAAACATGTAACACAACAGGTAAACACAATCACAACAACACACAAACATGTAGGAGGTGTGTCGTGTTTACACTCTGAAAGCACATCCTGAAACACACGTAGGGAAACCTCTTCAGATCTAACTTCACCACTTCATTAGATTCAAGGCAAGGCAAGTTTATTTAGTCAATTCAAAGTGCTTTTCAAAGAAAAGACATTAAGAGCATAAAAGGAGAAGTCAGACCCTCCTAAGTTCGTTACACTCTGCTTGCATTATGTAATGACAATAAAGTAGTCTCATCTAAGAGTAGCTGCAGCTTTCTGGGAGTTTGTTCCAGATATTTGGAAACATCCCAAATGCTCACATTCCTCAGGGCCGCCTTAATGCACGGGCTGACCTGGGCTGAAGCCCAGGGCCTACGGAGATCAGGGGCCTATCATGAGCCAATACATTTTTTTTAAAAATCAAAATATATATTTTTTTTTTCGGGTGTTTTAATTTTTTTTTAAATAAACAAAGTCTGGGCTTTCAGAATATGAAACTTTTATTTCCAAAATCACACGATAAATACATTTTTGAAGCTTGTAAAGGGAAGAAGACAGCTCTCACTCGCCACCCTGCTCTTCCGCAGCGCAGCCCTCCGGCTGACATTATGAATGTAAGGTGTAGAGTAATCATAGATAACACGGCAGGGTCCGTTACAGTTTGTTTTCATCTGGTTTCAAATAAACAAAGTCTTGGCTTTCAGAATATTAAACTTGTTTCAGCAAATTCAGATGATAAATACAACTTTGAAGCTTCGGCATAATTACAAGCGGAGAACGAAGTAACTTGACGTCACAGCAGGCAGAACAACAGTCGGTGTTTCTCGTGAGTGTTTCCCCCGGGAAACAAACACAATACACACAAACACAAAAATACACAAACACACACACACACACACACACACACACACACACACACACACACACACACACACACACACACTCATGAGCTTCCCCCAGACCAGTAATCCAAATGAAAATATCTTCCCTCCGTACTATTTTGATCATTTGCTCCGCTAATCAATGAGATCGATGGATTCCAGAGATGACTCAGTAACAGTCAGTGGGCACCACTTAACAGCCAATCAGAATGAGAATATGTTTCACATGTGACTTATTCAAATTGCGAGTGATTGAGTGACAGATGAAGGTTGTTTAGGAGAAAATGTCGGAGTAGAAAAAGTTTGAGAGTGGCGCTCAGAAAAGGAAATTGTTGAGGGAAAAGGAGTTTCGAGACAAGCAGCTATTACAAAACATGCCGAAGCTTACAGGTTATTTTAAACCTGTCGGCCAGGATGAGGAGGAAGGACAGATGAGTTCTGTACCGAGCGGCAGCGGTGCCGGCCGCGGGGCCTCAGAGCCAAGTAGGCCGTCTGGTTCTGATAGCGATGGAGTAGCTGGAGAGGAAAAACAGACGGGAGGGACATTATCTGTTGGAGGAGATGGGAGGACGAGGAGGACTTGCTACATGGAGGGGAGCCAACGGCAACCGGACAAATACATGAGGGAGGCCCAATACGTCACTCATCTGGAGGAGAGGACCAGGCGCGCGTAGAGCAGAGTGGAGAAGTGCGATCACAGAGCCTGCCGAGGCTATAAATGACTTTGATTTGTTGTTTAAATAGGGGGCCTACAAAAGCCCCAGGGCCTGATGGCAGGTTAAGGCGGGCCTGCCTCTACCTCAAGTCTTTCAGTGAAATTATAGTTCTTTGGACACTTTTCTAACCTTTTTATATTTCCTTTCATCCATTTTGAATCCCCAGACAACACACGTCCCTGTTTCACTGTTTACCGAACCCATCTTTGACCTTTAAACCACTTTTCATTTCAATTCCCAGAATTAGGATATTACTAAACCTGTTTTAAGACAGTAGGCGTGTCAGTGTTTAATCTCTGAAAGCTGCACAGACGATGATGCACAACCTGAAATACACGTAGGGAAACATCTTCATTATCAGATCTAACTTCATTCCTGACATGTTCTCGAATGGCATGTTTAGATGTCCCAAAGAGGCGTCATGTCGTGCTAAATGTCGGTGAATTTAGAGGAATCTGCAGACTTCTCCCAGGGTCCCTGCACGATGGCCCCCGCAGGCAAAGTTAGTGAAATAAACTCCTGGATGTGGGTTTCGGAAGTGTCCTTTCCTCTAGTCTGACAGAAGACACTCAAATGAAGTTATTCCAGTGTGCACGTTCTGTAAAATCATGCCATTGTCCGTGCATTGTTGAGTCAGGCAGGCACTCCTCCTTCCCGTCATTCTGCACATACAGGTGTCGTTTCAAATGATCATATAATCATTTGAAACATATCGTCTTATACTTTGATTGCCTTTTACTCTGTTGAATTGTATTTGTAGTCTTGTATGTGTTTAACAGAGACATATGTTAAGGATTTACATTTCAGGAAGTAAGAGGTGGATTTACAAATGGTTAAGGACGAGGGGGTTTAATGGTTTAATGGTGGGATGTTTAGATGAAGCCTTAAGGGCGGGACCAGTTGGATTTTCTCTCTTCTGTATAGCGGGACTGTCAGCAGAACTTTGTTCTCCTCAGAGGATGAAAGCTGCTCTGTTCCTGCATTCAGATCCATTTCATTTGTATATTGACTTTCTTTATTACTTTATTCAATATAACAAAAGACACACTTTGTCCATGAATCATTCATCAGTTTCTCCACAGCAGGATGCTACTAAGGCTCTTTGAGCAGCTGTTTCTCTCACTGATCCTGCTGTTATGTTAAATGTTTGTTGTTTGTTTCCTCATGTATTGTGTCTTGATATGTGGTCTGTAGGTGTTACACATGGAGCTGCTGTGATGCGCGGAGCATTTCAGACTCCATCTGACCATTAAAGTATTATCGTATCCAGAGGTGGGAAGTAGAGGAGTACAAATACTTCGTTACTGTACTTTCTGGTATCAGTACTTTACTCCACTACTTATTTTTCTGACGACGTTTTTCCTTGACTTACTTTCTACATTCTCTAATGTTGATACTCCAAATACCTGTACCTTTCTACTTCTTACTATGTTGAACACAAAATACCTGTACTTTTCTACTTCTCACATGTGAACTCAAATACTGTACTTTCTACTTCTACATGTTGAACACAAATACCCTGTACTTTCTACTTCTCACATGTTGAACTCAAATACCTGTACTTTCTACTTCTTACATGTTGAACACAAATACCTCTTTCTACTTCTTACATGTTGAACCCAAATACCTGTACTTTCTACTTCTTACATGTTGAACTCAAATACCTGTACTTTCTACTTCTTACATGTTGAACACAAATACCTGTACTTTCTACTTCTCACATGTTGAACTCAAATACCTGTACTTTCTACTTCTTACATGTTGAACACAAATACCTGTACTTTCTACTTCTCACATGTTGAACTCAAATACCTGTACTTTCTACTTCTTACATGTTGAACACAAATACCGTACTTTCTACTTCTTACATTTCTACTTCTTACATGTTGAACTCAAATACCTGTACTTTCTACTTCTTACATGTTGAACTCAAATACCTGTACTTTCTACTTCTTACATGTTGAACTCAAATACCTGTACTTTCTACTTCTTACATGTTGAACCCAAATACCTGTACTTCCTACTTCTTACATGTTGAACTCAAATACCATCTACTTTCTACTTCTTACAGTGAACCAAATACCTGTTACTTTCTACTTCTTACATGTTGACTCAAATACCTGTACTTTCTACTTCTTAATGTTGAACCAAATACCTGTACTTTCTACTTCTTACATGTTGAACTCCAAATACCTGTACTTTCTACTTCTTACATGTTGAACTCAAATACCTGTACTTTCTACTCTTACATGTTGAACCCAAATACCTGTACTTTCTACTTCTTACATGTTAACTCAAATACCTGTACTTTCTACTTCTCACATGTTGAACTCAAATACCTGTACTTTCTACTTCTTACATGTTGAACCCAAATACCTGTACTTTCTACTTCTTACATGTTGAACTCAAATACCTGTACTTTCTACTTCTTACATGTTGAACTCAAATACCTGTACTTTCTACTTCTTACATGTTGAACACAAATACCTGTACTTTCTACTTCTCACATGTTGAACTCAAATACCTGTACTTTCTACTTCTTACATGTTGAACACAAATACCTGTACTTTCTACTTCTTACATGTTGAACTCAAATACCTGTACTTTCTACTTCTTACATGTTGAACACAAATACCTGTACTTTCTACTTCTTACATGTTGAACACAAATACCTGTACTTTCTACTTCTTACATGTTGAACCCAAATACCTGTACTTTCTACTTCTTACATGTTGAACTCAAATACCTGTACTTTCTACTTCTTACATGTTGAACTCAAATACCTGTACTTTCTACTTCTTACATGTTGAACTCAAATACCTGTACTTTCTACTTCTTACATGTTGAACCCAAATACCTGTACTTTCTACTTCTCACATGTTGAACACAAATACCTGTACTTTCTACTTCTTACATGTTGAACTCAAATACCTGTACTTTCTACTTCTTACATGTTGAACTCAAATACCTGTACTTTCTACTTCTTACATGTTGAACTCAAATACCTGTACTTTCTACTTCTCACATGTTGAACCCAAATACCTGTACTTTCTACTTCTTACATGTTGAACTCAAATACCTGTACTTTCTACTTCTTACATGTTGAACTCAAATACCTGTACTTTCTACTTCTTACATGTTGAACCAAATACCTGTACTTTCTACTTCTCACATGTTGAACACAAATACCTGTACTTTCTACTTCTTACATGTTGAACCCAAATACCTGTACTTTCTACTTCTCACATGTTGAACACAAATACCTGTACTTTCTACTTCTTACATGTTGAACAAATACCTGTACTTTCTACTTCTCACATGTTGAACTCAAATACCTGTACTTTCTACTTCTTACATGTTGAACACAAATACCTGTACTTTCTACTTCTTACATGTTGAACCCAAATACCTGTACTTTCTACTTCTTACATGTTGAACAAATACCTGTACTTTCTACTTCTTACATGTTGAACTCAAATACCTGTACTTTCTACTTCTTACATGTTGAACTCAAATACCTGTACTTTCTACTTCTTACATGTTGAACACAAATACCTGTACTTTCTACTTCTTACATGTTGAACTCAAATACCTGTACTTTCTACTTCTTACATGTTGAACACAAATACCTGTACTTTCTACTTCTTACATGTTGAACTCAAATACCTGTACTTTCTACTTCTTACATGTTGAACTCAAATACCTGTACTTTCTACTTCTTACATGTTGAACACAAATACCTGTACTTTCTACTTCTTACATGTTGAACACAAATACCTGTACTTTCTACTTCTCACATGTTGAACTCAAATACCTGTACTTTCTACTTCTTACATGTTGAACTCAAATACCTGTACTTTCTACTTCTTACATGTTGAACTCAAATACCTGTACTTTTCTACTTTTACATGTTGAAACTCAAATAACCTGTACTTTCTACTTCTTACATGTTGAACCAAATACCTGTACTTTCTACTCCTTACATGTTGAACCCAAATACCTGTACTTTCTACTTCTTACATGTTGAACTCAAATACCTGTACTTTCTACTTCTTCATGTTGAACTCAAATACCTGTACTTTCTACTTCTTACATGTTGAACTCAAATACCTGTACTTTCTACTTCACATGTTGAACTCAAATACTTGTACTTTCTACTTCTTACATGTTGAACTCAAATACTTGTACTTTCTACTTCTCTCATTTCCAAACAGCTGGTTCCTTTAGTCTGAATGTGTGTTTGATGCGTGATCATTATTCTTTAGAGTCATTGCGTGCCTATTGATTTGAACACGATCCGTGTATCCATCATTTCCTGGTCTTCTCTAAAGAAGAGGGACCAATGGAAACGTTGTCATGTTGCCGTTGTTCAGCATGGAAACATTCATTAGCTAACAATGACATTATTGTTCTATTAATATAAAGGGAGGTCAGGTACTCTTTAAAGCAGCTGCTAGTTATGGGTACTTTTTACTGAAGTACATTTCAAAGCCTCTTTACTTTGACTTGAGTAAAGAAGTTTAGTCAGTACTTCTACTTTCACCAGAGTGTTTTTAAACACGAGTATCTGTACTTCTACTTGAGGAAAGGATGTGTACTTTCGCCCTCTCTGCATACAGTATTCTACGCTCACCTGGTGAAGATGCCCACCCCCAGCAGGTGCAGGGCAGCGATGGCTCCTCTGGACATCCCGGATATTTGGGTTCTCTATTTGGGTTCTGTCGAGGATCATTGATGTCGTCCCAGTACCACGAATAGCTGAAGATCTGCGTCACCAGCAGCCCGGTCAGACAAAACGTCAGAGTCAGCAGCAGTCCATAAATAATCCTTCTGCTGAAAAAATGTCAGCGCCAGTAGCACATCAGTGAGAACATCCACTACGTAGAAGAGGAGTCCAGCGATGGTGAGCAACCAGCGATGTTTAGCGTAGCTTTGGACCTCCGACTGGAGCATGCTGTCCGTAGAGGAACTCATCTAAAGGTTTGAAATATGTAGAAATGTTCGGGTGGATCATGTGTGCTCAGTTTTCCTCTGGACGTTGTGAAGGAAATCTGCGCTGGAGGTGTCGGACTGCAGCTGTGCAGGTGCCATGTTGTTAGTCTGTAAACAAAAACATGTTTCTTTTAGGGAAACATTTACTTTACTTGCATGTAATTAACTTCAGTATTCCTACAAATGAAGTGCTTTCTACCACATTACAACTCATACAACACATTGCAAACATCAATCAACACTACAGGATTGAACTAGTACACTGCATTTACTGCAATAAAGAAATGGGTTGAAGGCAAAAACAAAGAAAAGAAAGCAGTGCTGGAAGTAACTAAGTAATTGTACTGTACTTAAGTCTAATGTGCATGCACTTAACTAAGTATTTCCTGCAATACTCCAAAAACATCCAGAGGGTATTTAGTGCTTTTTACGACATTTCCGTGATTAATTTAGTTATATTACAACTCATACAAAACATAAATGTTGATTTATTAATATTTAGTTAGCTACACAGCAGTTTGTTGAAGTTATTACTAATTATCTCTTACAACTCAAGTCTAATGTGCATGTACTTACTTCAGTATTCCCTACAAATAGTGCTTTCTACCACATTTACTTGATTCATTTAGTTATTTTACAACTCATACAAAACATAAATGTTGATTTATTAATACAGATGTATCCACAAACCAGTATATTTAACATTTTTAAGAATGAACTCCACCTTTACCAGCTTCAACTTTACTTTTACAAGTCTTTCGTCAACTTATTTTGCATAATGCATACTTTCACTTTGAGTGTTTTAAAGTATTTTAAACACAGTTGCATCGTTTATTTTGTGACTGCTCAGCTGCCCTCTGATCCCGTCATGAAGTCTTTGTAATATCCTGATAAACGACAATCTCAGAAACCTCATGGAGGAATAAACACGTCGCCAGGCTCAAGGGCGTATGGCACTCTCAACTCTTCCAGGACATGCCGGGGCCCTGCCTGCCTGTAGCTTTGCTGATATCTGTGTTGATAGGTAATAGATTAAGAGCGGTGAATCATAGAAACAGGAAGCGCTCAAACGTTCGTGTGAGTGTATCTAATTTAGCAGTGATTCCATGTCAGCCACAGCTTGTTACAAAAAACATGACTGATAGTGTGTTTAACGAACTTAAACTAGCTTTATTAAATGTCAGGTCTTTGGCAGGAAAACATTTTTAATCAATGATTTTATCACTGAGCACAATCTCGATTTTATGTTTTTAACAGAAACTTGGATTTAACAAAATCACAGTGCAGCTGTTCTTATCGAATCAACCCCTCCCAACTTCAGTTTTATGAGTCAGGAAAGAATGCATAAGAGAGGGGGTGGAGTTGATATTCTATTCAATGATTCCCTTCAATGCAGGAAGACATCTTATGGGAACTTTGCTTCTTTTGAATATGTGGCCCTTCAGCTGAAATGCTCCTCTCGAGCTCTGCTCCTAAATATCTATAGACCACCCAAATACTGTGCAAGCTTTTTTGACGACTTTACTGAACTGCTGTCTATAGTGTGTATTGACTTTGACCGTCTAGTCCAGGGGTGGCCAACCCGCGGCTCTCTCTTTTGCCTAGTTTCATGCGGCTCTTCAGTTCATATCGAATTTATATGTGTGAGTTTGGGGGAGACACTGACTCCTGACTAGTGTTGCATGGTGTACCGATACTTGAAAGGTATACCGCGATACCCTGCCGTTAAAAACGTTACGATTCCTCCGTTTCATTAGTATCGGTACTTTAAGAATGACGGGGGAAAGTACTCCGGTGAGAAAGCGCCGTTTTAATAAGAGCCGTGTGTGTTCAGCGCTCTGCTTCCACTCCCTGCACTGCAGCCGTGCCTGCAGCCCCTCCCCTCTCAAGCACGCTCTAAGTCCCCCCCTCTCAAGCACGCTCGAAGTCCCTCCCCTCTCAAGCACGCTCTAAGTCCCCCCTCTCAAGCACGCTCTAAGTCCCTCCCCTCTCGTGCACGCGCTAGTGCCAGAGCATGTGAGAAAACCAGAAGCATGGCTGCAAGTGGGAGTGCAGCTGCCGCTGCGCCTCGGCTTGTTGACAAAAAACGCCAGAAGCGATGTATTTGAGCTATATCTCTGACAGTGAGGGCAAGCCTACGGACACCACGAGGCCTGTCTGTGAGAAATGTATTAATTTTATTTAATACGAATTCTTGTCATTTATTTTATTTATTGTTCTCATTGTTTAAAAGTTTGTGTTATGGTTATGATTCTGGTGTGAAATAAAGCACAATAATTACATTTAAGACTGTTTCCCTTTTTTTAAGAAAAATAATCGGAATCGCAATTCTTGACTTGGTATCGAAACCAAAATGTTGGTATCGTGACAACACTAGCTAGCTACTCCTGACAGTTAAACCTGATATTTAGTAGGTCTGTTAACTATTGAATACTGATAATTCTGACGTAATTTGGCTGGTCAAAGTTGTTCGGGCTCGGATAAATAGCTCCGTTACTTTCGTCCCGTGTTACTTTCGTCCCGGCTCTCCCTACGTGTGTATGTGTGGTGTCAGGTGTCAGTATGAGAGGATGACAGCGCGTCTAATTTTGATGTGGCCCAACAGCCAATCACAATAATACCTGCGATGCAGTGAACCAATCACCTTTGAGGGGGGGGAAAACCTATCGTTGATTAAACACTACTATCCAGTGTTTCCCCTACCGCTGCCCGCCAACGGAGCCCCGCGCCCCCCCCTGGAATTCAAGGTGTTATATATATAATAAAAAAAAATATATATATATACCACCAAATTGCAAATAATCTATAACTACTGTCACTTTTCACATTGAACATGTGCTCTTTTATTAAATAAACTAAACGCTTCATCTTAAGTTGTGGGTTTAGTGTTTTTGACCCTAAGAAACACTGATGCATTAATCAATAACAATAATCCACAGCTCCTCTCTCTGCTCCAGAGGATTTAAAAAATATTATCCCAATGCCACAAAAATGCATCAGTGACGTGGTTGAAATCTGTCTCCAGAAAACAAAAAACTGAAACAAGCGGTATCAGTGACTGTGTGTTTGATGTGGCTCTCAATAACATAGAAAAAATGTGGCTCTTAACCTCTGACTGGTTGGTCACCCCTGGTCTAGTCATTGTTGGTGATTTTAACATCCATGTTGACAACCCCCAGGACAGAGGGGCTAAAGAACTGTTTTGTGTTCTTGATAGCTATGGACTGACTCAGCATGTGACGGAGCCCACGCACAATAAGGGGCACACTCTGGACTTAATTATCTCAAAGGGTCTGAATATCTCTAAGGTTGTGGTGACTGATGTTGCACTCTCTGACCATTCCTGTGTTTTCTTTGAGAGCTCTATTTCTGTTCACTAAAATGTTCAAAAAGAGGTAACCACAAAGCGATATTTAACTGAAAATACTAGGGAAATGTTTACTCAGAATTGTTCTTCCACACTTGCCCCTGCTAACATCTCAGCAAATGAGCTAGTAGATCATTTTAATTCAAAAATTAAAAATGTTATAGATGCCATTGCTCCAACTAAGGTAAAGGAAGTGACTGGGAAGAAAATATCTCCATGGAGAAAGGCCATGACCGTGAGAACAGAAAAAAGAAATGTCGAAAGCTGAACGCAGGTGTGAAAAACAAATCTCCAGGTTCACTTTGAAATCTATAAAGAGAGACTTGGCCTTTATAATTTGGAATTGAAATTTGCCCGACAGTATTTCTTCTCTGATATCATTGCCAAAAACAAAAACAACGCACGTGCCTTGTTTGCTACCGTCGACAGACTAACTAACCCCCCCAGTGTCAGTAGCCTCTGAATTTCTATCCACCAGGGCGTGCAATGATTTTGCCTTCTTCACTGACAACATTCAGAGAATCAGACAAGCAGTCAGTGCCTCTGCATCAGGAACAGCAAATGTGTTGTCTCTGTGTCCACCTAACATCAATTCAGACACCATGACACAGTTCCATCAGATTAATGATAAAAACCTAGAGGACATTATTCAACTTCTGAAATCCTCCTCCTGCTGCCTTGATATTATTCCAACAGGATTTTTCAAAGATGTTTTGCCTTGCATGGCCTCAGATCTACTTCATATAGTAAACAAGTCTCTTCACTCAGGTATTTTTCCACAGGCCCTCAAAACTGCAGTCATTAAACCGCTCTTAAAAAAGAATAATCTAGATGCTTCAGTAATGAACAATTACAGGCCCATATCAAACCTCCCATTTCTAGGTAAAATCATTGAAAAATTAGTTTTTCAACAGTTGAGTAATTTCTTACATGTAAATAACTGTTTCGATGTGTTCCAGTCAGGCTTTCGTCCAAACCACAGCACTGAGACTGCTCTTGTAAAGGTCTTTAATGACATCCACTTAAACACAGACAGTGGCAGAACTTCAGTGTTAGTATTATTAGATCTCAGTGCTGCGTTTGACACTGTTGACCACAGCATATTACTAGACCGACTGGAAAACTGGGTGGGACTTTCGGAAACAGTTCTAAATTGGTTTGAATCCTACTTAAAGGACAGAAACAACGTTGTTTCTATCGGTAAATACACATCTGAGTTGACAAATATGACATGTGGGGTTCCTCAAGGCTCCATCTTGGGGCCTCTTCTCTTTAACGTCTACATGCTACCACTGGCTCAGATAATGAAGAACAACTAAATAAGTTACCATAGCTATGCAGATGACACACAAATTTACATAACAATTTCACCAGGAGACTATGCTCCAATTCAAACACTGAGTAAGTGCATTGAACAAATCAATGACTGGATGTGTCAGAACTTTCTCCAATTAAACAAAGACAAAACTGAGGTAATGGTTTTTGGAGCCAAGTCAGAACGTATAAAAGTTAGCGCTGAGCTTCAGTGTGCAATGTTCAAAACAACAGATAGAGCCAGAAATCTAGGTGTAGTCATTGACTCTGACCTGAGTTTCAACAGTCACATTAAAACAGTTACTAAATCAGCCTACTATCACCTAAAGAATATATCTAGGATTAAAAGACTAATGTCACAGCAGGATTTGGAAAAACTTGTCCATGCTTTTATCTTCAGTAGACTCGACTACTGCAATGGTGTCTTCACAGGTCTCACTAAAAAATCTATTAGGAAGCTGCAGCTGATTCAGAACGCTGCTGCTCGAGTCCTCACTGACACTAAGAAAGTGGATTACTCCTGTTCTGAAGTCTTTACACTGGCTTCCTGTGTGTCAAAGAATATATTTCTAAAATACTGCTGCTGGTTTATAAAGCACTGAATGGTTTAGGCCCAAAATACATTTCTGACCTCCTGCTAAATGATGAAGCATCCAGATCTCTCAGGTCTTCAGGGACTGGTCAGCTTTCTGTCCCCAGAGTCAGAACATGGAGAAGCAGCGTTCAGTTATTATGCTCCAAACATCTGGAACAAACTCCCAGAAACCTGCAGGTCCGCTGCAACTCTGACTACTTTTAAATCCAGCTGAAGACTTTTCTTTTTGTCGCTGCTTTTAATTTGAATTGAAACGGAGCCGTTGTGTTCATCAGTAAAGAGGAACTTCTGTGTGAACTATTCATATCTTAAACTGCACTGTAACTTTTTATTCATGTACTTTTTATTCATGCATTTTTTCTTTTAATGTTTCCTTTATTATCTTTTCTGATTTTAAATGCCTTTGTCTGAATGTCTTTCATTTTTGTAAAGCACCTTGAATTGCCTTGTGTTGAAAGGTGCTATATAAATAAATGTGCCTTGCCTTGCTATCAGCTGAGTCACAAGGTGATAAATGAACTCTTATATAACACACTGTGAGTCTTCTGACTGAAGCCTGATCACGTAATGACCAAATAACTGAAGTCCATGTTTGAATGAGATTACTGGTAGAAATACGAGGTAGATTCAAACAAAAGTACTAAATGTAAACCTTTAACTAAAATATAAGTTTGAACAGCGTAATGAGATGCTATAGGTTGGAGAAGTTAACAAAAAGGCACATTTAAGGGGTAATAATTCAAGATATAACGACATTTCTTATTCGTATCAATAAAATAAAGCCATATTTGTGTTAATTTATTATATTTTCATAAAGTATCTTCACAAATTGCTCTGCTCTCGTATACAAATTGACATTTTTAGTTGCCATACTAAGAAAACGTCATACTATGTTATTAGAAGGAATGAGAAAATGCTAAATGGACACTTATTTAACACAGAAAACTGGATTACAGAAGGACATGTTTTAAGATTATTTAATCATAGTTCAATGAATACAAAGTACATACTGTCCTCGAGCCGCAATGTAATTTAAAACAGTGTAAGAAGAAGCTTTAGGTTATAAACAAGCACATTTTACACAAGCGTATCCAAGATAGCACTCAATTATAGTGACATTTCCTATTATAATTAATCAAATAAATCAATTTCGCATTAATTAATTCCATTTTCATAAAGTTACCTCAGATACAAATATATAAATCCCAATGTAATCACTTTCTACCTTAAATAACACACAGTTTTTGGTGCATATCCCTTTCACTCACCGTTGGTCCGGCTCATGTCGGCTCTCAGCTGTAAAATAACTTTGCGTTCTGTTTCCAGGAACTCGTGACGACTCCACCTCAGAAACAAACCTCTGAACACACGGAGAAATGTCCTTACATAATAGATATGAGGTATGTGTCTAGGTGTGTGTGTGTGTGTCTAGGTATGTGTCTAGGTGTGTGTGTGTGTGTGTGTGTGTGTGTGTGTTGTGTGTGTGTTGTGTGTGTGGTTGTGTGTGTTTGTGTGTGTGTGTGTGGTGTGTGTGTTGTGTGTGTGTGGTGTTTGTGTTGTGTGTTGTGTGGACATACTTCAGATGCCTGGAGGATCCACCTGTCAGTGATGAGATGTGAAGGCGGTCTTTTCCCAGGTGAACCTCAGACAGGTGTGATAACTGAGAACAGAACATGGAACAGCTGTGCAGGTGTTTCCTGTGACATACGTACTTACAGAAAGAGCAGGGACATTTTAATGACATCAGGAAGCTTGTAATGCTATAAAAACAATTGCTCTTTTGAATAAATTGTTGTTAAATGACTCTTTTATTTTTTCTCCACTTGTTACTCACCTGTTTATCCCTGCTGCGTTCCCCTTCTTATTCACATGCTGATTGATACCCATATGTAGTCTTTTCATTTAAACACATTGTTATTTGTTTAATATATGTGTTAGAGCAGGGCTTCCCAAACGTTGCCATGCCAAAATGATGAGTACATTATGATGGAAAATATGACTAATTAATCAATACATGTTCTTAATATATATTTGTATTAATAATTAATAGTCAGTTATTCTTCTAAAATTTTTTTGTATTTGTCATTCATTACATTCATTGTGTCTTCTGTTCTAAACATTCTTAACACAATATTAAACAGTAATATCAACAGTAAACATATTTTTAAAGCATTTTTAAAGTGATTTCTGTCTTTATAATATTATATAATTTTGAACAGTAATATGAATAATTAACATATATTTTTAGCATTTTTTAAACCTACTTATGCCTTAATAATATTATATATAATATTCAACAGTAATATTAACAATAAACATATTTATATTCATATATAAACATCAATATTTGCTGCATCAGTGCTCTCATCCAGCTGCAGAGCGAAATATTCACTAGCTCTCACTTGCTCCAAAAGCTGAGCAGTAGCTGATTTAAAAACAATAAAATAAAAATAAAATATTAATAAAAATAAAATATTAAAAGATTGGCATCAAAAGACACATAGATTGATAGATATAGAGTTATTAATAACATCTACAAAAAATAATGTAACTTTAAAAAAAGAAAAAAATTCCCCTTCCCCTCAAACTTTGCGTGACCCCTCTGGCGCCCCCTGGCGGCCCCCGGGGGGTCAGAGGCCTCACTTTGAAAAACACTGTGTGAGTCTTTTACTTTATTTTCACCTATTTTTTATTTAGTATTTTATTTATTTATTTGTTATAGGCCTAGTTATACTAATACTTCCTGGTCTTTTTTATATTATAATAAATAATATATATTTTAAACAATATATATTATTTTCTAGCTAATATACATGTGTATATAAATGTTTAAGGTACACACAACAACAAACAATCAGGTTATTAATACAAGACTGGTCCAGTACAAATGCAAAGTGAAATGAGGCAAAGGACAACACGCAGACAAAGAGCATCACAAAAGCATGACAAGACTTTAAATATATATATGACACCCTCTCCTCCGGTGCGTAGGTGTCGCTGCGGATCCCCGGTTCCTCTCTCCTGCGTAAAGCCTCTCGTTGTTCCTCTCCTCCTCTGGACCCTCC